TTGCTATATTTATACTATTTATATTGAACCCTCTCATGCTCTGCTGTGCACATGACATGTTTTTTTCTCTTCTTATTTTATATTTAAGTTTATATTTCTTTTCACATTATATATTTAAGTTTTAGTATTTAAGTCTAAAATTTTTTAGAAAAGATGAAAATAAAAATAAGCAAATATCAAGATAGCTGAAACTGAGCTTTTCTGAGTAGGGAGGTGAAATTCATATACAGATTCCAGGGTGCAGGCAACTGAACAATATAGAAATGCTCAGGCAGCCAAGTGGGGTTTTCAAAAACAGGGGACTTAGCAATATATCTAACTTTGTGCCCCACATTATGAACAGTTTATATTCATTTGGAAAGGAGTTGTTTGGGAATTAGTATGCATTTTCCCATAGACAGTGTTATAAATGGCGCTAAAATTCATAAGATCATAAATTTAGAACTGGAAGGGATCTCTGAGGTCATCTAATACAACCTCCTTATTTACCAGATGAGGAATTAAGGCCTAGAAATGTTAAATGACTTGTCCAAGGTAACAAATGTAGTAATTGGCAGTGGTGGAATTTGAACCCAGGTCTTCTAATTCCACATATAGCAATTTTACAAAAGCATCACACTATTTCTCTGTCTCTGTGTCTCTCTCTCTCCCCCTCTCTCTTTCACACACACACACACACACACACACACACACACACACACACACACACACACGCACTTCAACCTGTAAAATACACTTATTACGGTATTTCAGTAATTCAAAAACTGTATTATCTCTTTAGTGTGGGCCTTCCCTCCATCATAAAAGGTTACAAGCTCTACATGTTTTAATACATGGTCTTTAAAATTTTCTAGAGCCAAAAAAATTCTTCACTTGGTAGCTAAATACTTGGAAATAAGAGTCTTTCTAAATTTAGAAGACTTTTATATTCTTCTAGATATATATGTATTGTTCCTTCTTGAACCCATTCCTGATGAAAGTAGGTTTCCAGAACTAACAGCCCTCCTCCCCCATCCAGTTCCTCTGTATCAGTTCTTCCTCTTGCACCTCATTTATATAAGATAATTGCTCTTTTTAGCTGTTTCTGAACAGTTTTACTTTTTGATGTCACATCATGCTCAGGTCTACTCCAGTATTTCTTATGAACTACCCAGTTGCTAATAACAATCTTAGACATATGTTTTACATTTTACATACATCAAAGTTAAAATAGTCTGTCCTTATTGAGTCCCTTGTAATTGGACTTTGGTGTGTACCTTATGTTTCTTTTGGCTGTTGTATATCAAATCTTCTATTAAATTCAAGTTCTTTGTGTTTTTTTTAAACAAAATACTTAAAGTCTGACGATTCATTAAATGTCCATTTTTTTTCCATTCACAATTATGCTTAGCTTTGCTGAGTATGATATTTTTGTCCAGAAACCCAGTTCTTTTGCTCTTTGGTATATAGTGTTTACATCTTGGTATTTATTAGAAAATATTAGTACTGAATTCTACTGTCTTCCTCTTCCTTAGACTCAGCACTACAATTCTCATTTGGAGTACCAGCACTCCTTTTTGTTGATGATTTACCCTATCTATGTATTCCCAGACTTACCACATTGTACTCTGAACATCTTGCCAAGTTATCAAGTAACCTTGTCTCCCCACTCCTTGCCCCCATTCCCTAACTTGCTACCTCTGGGAACAATAATCCGATTAATTCTACCGTTATGAAAAGTACATCAATTAATTGCTTTATGACTCCATTCACCAACACTCGGATTTCTTACACCAAACCACCTTTCTCTGGCTACTACTCCCCCTGTATGTTTTGTCTTTCACTAATAGAATGTAAATTCCTTGAGGGAAAGGACTCTTGATTTTTGTACTTTTATCTTCAGCGCTTAGCCCGTTTGATAAATGCTTTTTTTATTTGTTTCAGAGATATTGAGGGTTAAATATGTTTTTTGGTTTGGCAAAGAGATGCCTATTAGTTCCTGTAAATTTTGGTATGTTTTCAAAACTAGTTTGTAACATAGGTGAAGAGATAATAATTCACTCTTGGGACTTTATAGGCTGTGACATAGCCTTAATTACTTTATTGTATAGAATATTCTCCCAGAATTTTGGATTTCACTGATGGTAGTATTTCCTTTAGTGATACCGATTGAAGCCTAGCCATGCCTATACATCCTTTTCAGCCCTTTTCCATGTTGTCGCATATATATACTAATGACTGCCTTCCTTAAAACCTCTTATCATTGTGAGGCTTCCAGTTATAGTAGGCCAGGTCTGACTCAACCCTCTCTGATATTTCAAGTTTGAGATTAGAATGGAATGAGATGTTTGTAGATTATCTAATAACTAACAATAGGAAGTTTATTTAGCTATAGCCAGGAAAGGGTATTTCACAAATATATAGTATTGATTAACTTAATTAGACTAGAACTTTACATGTATCTAACAGAACGGAAGAGATTCAATGTGAAGTTTGAAATGAGAGTTTGTGTTCCAGATCAGTCATAATCTGGTTTTAAGACTGTTGCTGAAGGCGTGGGCAGCATTGGAGGAAGACAAGAAAAACTAAAACAGAAAGAAAGCAAAAATAAAACAGAACAAGCAATGAAATGGCCCCTTGAATGGGGAACCAAATATAGGGAATAGTAAATTGCCTACTCCTCTCTTTTTTCCCTGCTTTATTCCTTTTTCCTTCCCTTTTATTTTTTTTCTCTTAAGATCATAGAAAATATAGCTAAGCTCCCAGGCCCTCTGTCTTATTTACTGTCCCTATGACTCTTGAAGACATTAGGGTTCTGAGTAAATTCCTTATAATTACTCAGATGCATTTGCTTTTCTGTGTTTTTCTTGCCTTTTATATTTGCATTCCAAAATGTCCTCTGTTCAGGCCTCTTCATCATGAATGCTTGGAAGTTAAATAGACATGAAAAAGCCAACTCCTCCCCACCCCTGCTTCCTCTATAAGATCATGCTTAGTTTTGGTTGTTGGCCTTTATTTTTTTGCTTTTATGAATAAGAGATTCCAAACTTTCCTCTCCTTTCTAGTGGTAACAAATATCCAGGTGTGGTGTGATCTTTACTGTGGTATTTGCACTTTTTCTCTGGTCGCTTAAGATTTTATTTTTTCATTTGACTAGGAAGCTCTGAATTTTGGCTATGATGTTACTGGGAATTTTCATTTGGGGTTTCTTTTTAGAGGTGATTGGTAGATTCTATTTTCACTTTGTCTTCTGGCTCTAATAGATCTGGTTACCTTTTATTCATGATTTGTTTGAATTGTAGAGTATGTAGGCTTTGTTTATGGTTGGGGTTTTCTGATAGTTTAATGATTCTTAGATTATCTAGCTTTCTATGTCAGTTGTTTTTGATAGGAGATAACTTAAATTTTCTGGTATTTTTAAGTATTTCAATACTAGCATATTTCTTGTTACTTCATGGAGTCAAGTAAAGAGCTGAAAAGGAAATGAAAACTTGAATGAATTGGAAGAAAAATAAACACTTTAGTCCAGGAGGTACTATTAACTACTTACTATGTGTCAATCACTGTGCTAAACTAAGCACTGAGGACACAAATAGAAAAGGACACTGATCTAGCCCTACTTTTTCCAGGAATTCTTTTTTTGTTTGTTTTTTTTGTGAGGCGTTGGGGTTAACTGACTTGTCCAGGGTCACATAGCTAGTAAGTGTCAAGTGCTGAGGTTGGATTTGAACTCAGGTCCTCCTGATTCTAGGGTTGGTGTCTATCCAGTGGGCCACCTAGCTGCCCCGTTTTTTTCCTTCCCCCCCCCCAAGAACTCTTATTGGGCTTGTGTCCAATCTGCGTTTTTCAATTGAGGTTTTGCTTATATAGATGTTTTCATGAAGTTGTTTTTTTCAGAGTTTGTGTCTTGAGCTTCTTCTTCACCACAGTAGCTTTTTACGGTCAGGTTCTTTTTTTGTTGTGGTTGTTTGCTTATGTTTTTTTAGCCTGTTTCTTGACTTTGAATTTTATGACAGAGTTGGGCTCTGTTCCCCTTGGGAGGAGGAGGGTCACTGCTCTAAGCTTTAGACTTTATTTAGTTCTGAGGGTTTGTAAGTTTTCTGTGCTTCCAGGGTGGTATGATCTGGGGAGAGGTGTCACTGCTCTCCTGGTCTGCGCTGTGGTCCTTACTCTGGTAGGGACCCTGCTGTCTTATAACCACAAACCCTAGTGTGACCTGGAACGAGGCCCCCTCCTCTCTGTGTGTCCTGTAATTGCAACCAGGGCTCCTGCTCCCTGGCAACTGCAGATACTCCATGGAACTCTGGAACTGTAACCCAGAGCTGGGTAATGGGCAGTGGAATTGCCAAACATCACCTGATCCTGTACCCAGTGCCAGCACAGAAGTCCTCTCTAATCTCCTTTTGACCAATGGTCCGGTCCCCTTGCTGTCTTGCTACTGCTGTTTTTACCATCATGTCTCCAACGCCCACAGCTGGTGTTGCTGTCAGGCTGCACTCCTGGCCAGCCTCTACCCCAGTGTCATGTACTTCTTTCAACCTCCTGAGTTGTCTTGGGCTGGAAAAATGTCACTCGGAATTCAATTTGTGGTGTTACTTTAAAGTTGTTTGGAGAGGAATATTGGGAAGAGTTGAGCTAGAATGTTCCTCTACTCTGCCACCTTGTCTGAGCCCCCTCCTTAAATGGAGGATGAGAGAGAAGCTCTCTACTGTTCACCCTCTACTTACTCTAGGGGGGAAGGGACCTATTGCCCTTTGATGGATAATAGAGTTAACTTCTTAACTTCTTTTAGGAGAACCTGTGTGCCTTCCTTTCATTAAATTTCAACTTAACGCTTTAATTGAGAAATACATTTTAAAAAATTATTTTCAGGTCCAGACAACTTTTTTGTATACATTTAGTGCACATTTTGTTGTTAGGTTTTGGTAGTCAAAAGCCTTCCAGAAAAATTGGCTAGCAAGCTATATTTATTTTTGTTGACATTTTCAAATTAAACAAATTTTAACTTGTTAATCCCTTAGGAAAGAAATGTAGAGGCAGTGCGAAGTGCAAAGGATGAACGTGTTCGAGAAATTAGAAATGCAGTGGAGATGATGATTGCACGTTTAGATACACAACTGAAGAATAAACTTATAACATTAATGGGTAAGTGCTTTTTGCCAGCTTTCTCTTATAACACTTTGACTTTCCTCTTGAGATTTACTGGAAAATTATTTTACATCTCTACAAAGTGATGATGTGGCACATTATTTGAGTATACACTTTTAAAATAAGAAATGATGGTATCATCGAAAGAGCTCCTGCCTTTAGATGTAGGTTGTGGTCCATCACTAACATTTACAACTGTGACGTTTTACAAGTCAGCTAACTTCTCTAAGCCTTAGTTTCCTTAATGGGAAATGTTAATAATATTGACCTCACTTGGTTTTTGTGATCCTCAAATAAGGTACTGTTTGTGAAAGCATTTGGGAATCATCAGGCTGTATGTGGTATAATGGTTTGAGCACTGGCTGTGAAGTCAAGATGACCTGAGGTCAGAGTCTCTTTGTGGTGCTTCCTGCCTATGTGACTTTGAGCAAGTCGCTTAATCTTCCTGGGCTTTTACTACTTTGTCTGTAAAATGAGGGAGTTACACTAGATGGCCTCTGAGGTCCCTGCTAATTCTAGATCTGTGATGGGTCTTTACTGTCTACTCTTACATATCCTACCTAGACAGACAGTGTGTTTTATGTGTATATAGAGACATAGAGAAGTAAGAGTCCATGATGTCTTTTATCAACTTAGTGGTATGGTTTTAGCTATAGCAAAGAAATTCTCATATGTAAGCAAAATTCCTACTGTTAGAGTTTTAATTCATTTCTTTTCAATTTGTCTTGTGTAAAAATGAAGAGTTGGTTTGTTTTCATACTTAGCTTCGATGTAATCCCTGAAACTTCTTCTTCAGTATAAAGAACTTTGGTTCTTTAAGTTTTTAATTTCATTTTTCACTCTTATTTTTTTTTTTGTTGTTTTACTTTTTTTCCATGTATGATTTCTACGTTCTTCTTAAATCGTGAAACCTAGAATTAAATATAGGATTAAACAAAAGTTTTTAGGAAGAATCTGGCAACTGTTAAATGAAGTGACAAGTCTTTGTTTATGAACTATACCTTTTAACAGCCGTATATTGTAGTACATAGTCCAATTTTAAATAAAGTTCAGCAAGTCAGGTGATTTTTTTACCTGCTTGTCTTGGCCCTCCAAGATTCTGGCCATTACTTTTGCCTTGTCATCAGAATTTTACTTTTTTCACATTATTTGTAGAAGGTGTTTTAAATTTAAACCGACACCTCTGTTTAAAATGTTTTCACTTGCCAATTAGTATTTCCCTATTTTTGTGCAAATTAATTAAAGTGGTAGAAAATTATAAGCTATCATTTGTTTCCACTTTTTTGTTTGTATGACTAAATGGGTTTAAAGTGTAATGTAGGGCAAGGATAGCTTTCTTTGGACGGTCTGACAGCCTTTATTTCTAGATTTTTAGTTAATTTCTGGCATTTATTCATGGCTGTGTCATACTATTATTTTTGTCCCTGCCACTTACTGTCAAGTTGAGATGATTTCTGATCTACTCTCTGCATCCACATTTCTTTCCTAGCAATAATTGCATTCAACAGATGAGCTTTCATCTAATGTCATCGACTCTAATAACCAACCTATTATTTGAAAATAAGCTTTATTGATGCCCATTGGTTTTATTTCCTAGTCATTTCTGTATATTATCCATCTCCTTACCCCAGTTTCAGGAATTGAGCCCTCTGTTGTGATAAAGAAGAGCAATTAAACATAAACAGTTGATACAATGACTGCCTCACAGTGTGTGTAAAAATCTGCCCTTTACTTCTCTTTCCTGTTGGCAGACAGAGATGTTTCATTTTTGTTCTTCAGGACCAAGACTTGCTATTATAGTTATTTAAAGCTTTTTAGTATTCTTTTTCACTTACATTATTGAGTCATTGTTTACTCTGGCTTATTTTATTTTGTATTACCTCTTCTGAAAACACGCTGGCCTAGAAAGACTTCTCAGCACCCACTGGCCTAGAGAAACCTCTCTCTGCCCCCTTTCTGCCAGAGCATTTCTCTCTAGACTAACATGTTCTTACAATTCTTTTGTGTCATAGGCCCCTTTTTTGTGTCATGAACTCCTTTGGCAGTACAGTGAAACTATACTACCCCTTGTCAGAATAATGTTTTAATATGAATAAAATAAAATATGTAGGATTGCGAAGGAAACTAATTATATCAAAATATTTTTAAAAACAAGTTCATTGACCCCAGGTGAAGAACCCGTGACCTAGAGTCAGCCTGACAACAGTTCAGACCATCTTTCTCTTCTTGCCTATGTTGTTATAATAGCGTCTTAATTGATCTCCCTGCCTAAGGTCTCTATTCCAATCCATCTTCCACAGTGCCACCAAAATGATTTTTCTAAAGTACAGGTCTGACCATGTCACTCTCCTTCTCAGACTCTTGTGGCTCCTTGTTAACTCTGTTATCAAATATAAATGTCTCTGTTTATCATTTAAAGCATTTCACATCCTGCTTCCTTCCTGTTTTACCAGTCTTCTTATACAGTGTTCTCTTCAACTTACTTTGCAGTCTGGTACTGTTGACCTACTTCTTGTTCCTCTTGCAAGACACGTGATCTTCTGCCTCACACCTGAAATGCTTTCCCTTTCTCCTTTCCTCATCTTAAAATCTTTGGCTTTCTTCAAGATTTTGTTAAGTGCCACCTGGCAGGTGTCTGTTCCTAGTGTCCCCTGAACCCCCTACCTCCCCTGCTGCTATTCTTTTCCCCTCTGAAGTTAACTTGTATGTGCTTCATGGCTTATTCGTAGCTATAAGTGAACATGTTTTTTCCCATTAGAATGTAAGCCTCTTGAAGGTAGAGAATGTTTTTTGCTTTTTCTTTGCAAAACCTGACACTTGGCACATAATAAATTCTTTTAGCTACATCATCCTGGAGAAGTAATTTAACCTCTCTTGGTCTTATTTTCTTTTTTAAAATAAAAATAACCATAGCACCTATTTCCCAGAGTTGTGAGGATCAAAGAAGATAATATATGTTAAGTGCTTTGTAGACCTTATAATGATATATAAATGTTAGCTTTGATGAAAGAGACAGTTTAAAAGGAAAGTGTGAAGACTTGTGTGAACTGATGCAGAATGAACTGAGCACAGAACCAGAAAAATAACTTTGAAAGACTTGAAAATACTGATCAGTGCAGTGACAAACCAAGATTTTCATTTTGTCAGTTGTATTTTTAAAAGAATTGTTCAATTTTTCTTCTACCTCTCTAATTTGATTTTTTAAAATCCTTCTTGAGCTCTTCCAAGAAGGCTTTTTGGGCTTGAAACCAGTTCATATTTCCCTTTAAGGTTTCAGATGTGGATATATTGACAATACTGTCCTCTTCTAAATTTGTGTTTTGATCTTGCCTGTCACCGTAGTAAGAATCTATGGGCTTTGTTTTTTTATGTTGCTTTTTGCTTGTGGTGTTTGCCTTTTTTCTGGCTTTTAAAGTTGATCTCTGCTTCTGGGGCACAGGGGCTGCTGTCCCACCCTTCTTGTGCTGAGGGCTACGGGCCTGGTTACTGGCTTTGTGTGCTAGAGCCTCAGGTTCTGGCAGCTGGAGGCTATAGAGACTGTAGCTTACCTGGTGCTGAGCTGTAGCTGGTGTGTGCTGAGACCAGGTAGGGTTTTTCTGCATTTCTCACGGGTTGGGGTGTGGTGGTAGAGGTGGTCTGGCCATTGGAGGTCACCTCCTTGCCTGAGGCTGCGCTGGACCACGGATAGGCTCAGCTGCTGGTGGAGAGCTGTCCGCTGCACAATTGATGGTCTCTGAGCTGCTGTCTGCTGTTCCTCTGGCTGTGCCAAGGCGTGTGGGGGGGAGGGACGGGTTGGTGGCGGGGTGGGAGGGTTGCTGGTGTTGGTGCTTGCCCACTCCACTGCCCTGGGTCTCAGGATCTCCCACTGGTTTGCTGAGGTGGGGCTTTCTTCTGGCTTGCTGGGACACCTCCTGTCCTGGTCCCCTTCAGCAACAGGGACCTTTCCCGTTAATTCCCCAAGTCTCATGAGCTAAAAATGACTGTACCCCATCTTTCTGCTGGCTCCACTGTTTGAGGATTTTTCCTGGGGCAGTATTTTCTGTATTTTTTACGGTGAATAAGGGAGAGTGAGAGCAACTTAATGCTTACTCCACCATCTTGGCTTCTGGAAATCTGACAAAGATTTCAGAGGACTGAACATTAAGCATGTTAACCTTTTGACATGGATGTGAGGCATTCAAGATGCAGAATGAGGTATATGATTTTTAGACATGACCAGTGTGGGGATTTGCTTAACTATGAATATTTGTTACAGAGGTTTGATTTTATTTTTCAGGAATGAGGAAGAGGAGGGTGGGGGGGATAGAAAATAAATGCATGTTAAGTGAAAAAAATTAAACTTAATTTAAAAAACAACAGTAATGTTAGAAAAAAATACTACTGTGGATGTTATTTATATAGAGTCTTGCAAGAAGCTAGGGTTTTAAGAAGCTAAGAGAGGTAAGGAAGGAGTACATGCATGAGGGGCCAGCCTGTGTAAGGGTATGGAGGTCATGTTTGAGGAATGCCAAGGAAATCAGTTTGGCTGTAACATAGAGTGCATAAAGGGTAGTAGTATTATGGAATAAACCTGGAAAATAGGATGTAGCCAGATTGTGAAGGACTTCACATTCCAAGCGAAGCAGTTGGTATTTTATCCCGGAACCATTAAAGTTTCTTGAGTGGAGATGTAATGTGGTTAGACTTGCATTTTACAAAGTTCATTTTGGTGGCCTAATGAAGGGTGGATTAAAGAGGGAAGACTGGATACAGGAGATTTTACTAAAAGGCTGCTATAATTGCTTTGGCAAGAGGTGATGAGGCCCTGAATTGGTAGTCCTCAGAGAGGAGAGGAGGGGGTAAAATGTTGTGAAGGTATAATTGAAAAGATTTGGCTCATGATTAGATAGGAATAGGGTGAAAGAGAGGAGAGTCAAGGATAACTCATATATCTTAATATCAATCACTAAACTTTTTATTAAGTGCCTACTGTATGCCAGGCCCTCTGCTAGAACTTA